TGCCATATACTTGCGCCATGCTCTAAAAAATAAAATACGCCTCTTATGTACTATGGCCTACAAGTAATTTAGAACATATTTTCGTCTTATTTATACGAGTTTATTTTTATCGAATAATTAATGAGAAATGTACAACAGTTAACTACTGAAGAATTTATTAAACACATATTTAAACTTCGGGTGATTTGCAAATAATGTTTTTTTTTACAATTGTGAAAGACGTTTTGATTATTAATCATAAATTTAAGTGAAATCTCCGATTTAAAATTATCTTGTCAATTCATCACATTTTCAAATGAATTTTACATTTTTCGAAGGTTTAGACATCGACATAAAGACAATACGCTACGCTAATATTTCAACGTTGGGAAGATCCACTAATTTCAATAGTATTGAACGGTTCTTGAAGTTTAATATTTTTGTCGTCATTAATTTATTTCAACGTAATCGTGACGTTTAACTTAAAGAAACATAAAAAAAACATGCGTCAACATTAAGTTGAGAGGCGTGGATTTTAAATTGCATTGTTTTAACCGCAAAAAGCAAAGGGAAATTTATAAACATTCATCTTCGTTTTACTTAAATGTTTATGGTCGTTTATTTATCGTGTGATTGTTAAACAATAAAAAAAACTTCGTGATGCACAAAATATTATTGTGGCAGCATGTTAAGTAGGCATAGTAATTTTGTAACGAATTATTTAGTGTGCAGACACTATGAATGATTTTTAATCACTGTTTTAAGCCTAAATTGCGTGTTGTACGTGCAACAATCTCAATTAAACGAGAGAATAAAATAAAATTATTAGTAACAAATTAACATTGTTCAAAATCTGTTGTAAACAAAATTATGGGAAACCTTATTATTTAATAAATATTTTCCATCAAATGTTAACAGATAATTTATTATAATATTTTTGCTATTTCGTTTTATATTTTAAGTAATAGATTTATTATAATATGTCTGTAGATTTTACATGGATATTTTTATTCAATTAACCACATGTGTATTAATACATGAAAAAAACATTGATCTTATACGTCTATTGAGGTATTTTGAAGTTACATCTAAAAAACTATACTATTATAGTTTTAAATATACATTGATATTTCTCTTAAAAATGTATACTTACGTTTCAAGTATACGCGTTTTCAAATTATTACCTTGCACTATCATGTACTTGAATCATTTAATTCGATAACTTTTTATATTTTTTACTCGTATCCAAATCAAAAACAAAATGTACTAGTTGTTAGTTAATATAAATATCTTCGGGTACAGTATTATCAAACAAACAATTTTGTGTCAGACTGTTCTATAAACCATACAAACTGTTGTATTTTACTGTAATTAATTTTCAAATATTTCGTTCCGTGTGAGGCCAAAAACTCGAGTTCTACTGTTTACGGACTAATTGCTTTGACATGTTGCACTTACTGGTAAACCGTAAAGAATTGTGTACTCGAGTTTCAAAAAAATCAAAACTCAAGACTACCACCAGAAAGCGGTGGTCGGTAGATCGGTTAATAACATGACCGTCCCGAACTAGCAAAGAGTATAATCGTTCGAGTTATTGTACATAAATACACAAACACATCACAAGTCTCGGCGTTCAAGTCTCCTGGTCTGTGCGCGGGTGGTCTTTCCCTGCCATAACGTACAGTGCGATCGTAAGGCACGTCGCGTACGCACACCCGGGTCACTTTAAGCTCTTTTTCTTCGGCGTTCGTGTTCTTCCATAGTCGATGACTTTCACAATCCATCAACCAACAGGACGTGCATCGACGGCAACACAAATCTGATCGACCGTCGACCCATCTCGACTATCGATCGAAGTATCGCGTATTTAATTCTTAGAAAAAAGAACATTGGTAATGTTGAATTTAACTCGGGTTTACTGTATAAACTGATAACAGCTGGCCGCCGATGAGTAACCGATCTTAAAAAAACGTACACTCAGTCCACACAATAATATATTACACTTGCACTAAAATGTCCGTTCCCTTTCTTTAACGAGCGTCCTGCGTTCTGTGCAGTCCATCTACATTATTGCTACTTGTTACACGAAACACAATAAAAACATCCGAAGTTGTAAATTACATTTCGGAACGATATTCAGTTGAAAATGTAAACATGATTGTTATTAATCGACCGAATGCGGTCCTTGTGCGACTACAGTTATAACCCTGATGTGTCCATCCTGCGAGTTCCAAGGTCCCCTCCCCCCTCACGACCCCCGCAGAGGAGGTATCCTTGATTGAGCTATCTGCCGTTTGTTGTTAATGCGACCATCAACAATGACAACCTGTTGCCGCGGGTCAACGCAGTAAAAGTAATTTGTCACAAATAAACAGGTGATAATTTATCAAGTGCAAGCAAAACATCACGATTTCTCATCAACTGTATCTATTAAATGATAATAATTTTTCATGAACAACTCAACAACGGTAAATGCTGTTGAATTTTACATTTATCGTGACACTCATAATATACACGGACGTTCTACATAAAATGTTATCATCATTCAAATATGTGGCCCTTTATAATTTGCGCGTTTGAGGTATGTAATTGTTTTTTATTGAATATTTTAGTTGCTTTTTTTATTTCATTGCAGTGAACGTCGGTTACTTAAAAGAGTGGTTGCCTTTACCGTCGACCATAATAATCGATATGTCGGGCGGCAAAGACGGCGGCTGGAATGTCTATCCCTTGACAGTCGATTAAATCGTTTACACCGTTTTTCCTCTGTTTTCTCTCCCTTGAAGATGTTTATTCGTTTTTCGAACCACCGAATATGTTTTTTTTGCTCATAACACCCAATTATCAATTAAGATTTATGCGTCTGCTTGTACGCGGTTGACGCTTACATTCAATACAATGATTTATGTATCTTAAAATAGTATCACATGATGTGATACTATAACGAATGAACTGCAAAAAATGCACACTCGGTTTTATCTTCTAATAATAGCTTACGTTATTAGCAGAATAGAACTACTCTAGTACGAGTAACGAGTGAATATTTTGTCTCAAATTATCACCTTTTACGTGAACTTGATTCTTGAAATGCAGTTTTTTGTTAAATGTTGTAATTATGGACATTGTAGTGCACACATACTTATACACACGCGTATTTATATATACAATACGTACGTATTAATTGTTTTTGTTATGACACGATTGGGTTACGACACGGAACATGAACATTAATACTAATTATAAATTTCCCTGCGGTGGTACATGTGTTTTTAATCAAAAGCAGTTTACCGTGTATAATTTCTATTTAGTGTTTTTCTTAAGTTCGGGATGTTCGTTAAATATATTAATAGATTAATCGAAGCGACTTGTATTAGATATCTGATTATGGACAACGAGCCGTCATTTTCAAATAAACATTGTATGGTTGCGTTTATTGTTTAAATGTTTTAAGATAAATGCTTTTATTGTCGAATGATTGTAGTTAAATATCTTTAATGTTTTTATTGCAATTTCACGAGAAGAATCGTTCACAAGAGTGTTTGATTTCTAATTATTTAGAGATATACGAGTAATTCAATGATAATAAATTATTTTAAGGTAACAGACAATATATGTTAAGCAATAATATAAGTTGTCTAAATAACAGTTAGCATTATAATAGTCTTCAATTAAAGTAGTAAGATATTAAAATGAAGTTTGATTTAACGCATATAGTGAAATTAAAATTTTGTATAGCCTTTAAATTCATAATGACAAAAAGTGAATTTTTAATACTTTTATTGTTCACATGTTTAAATCGTGTCAAACAAAAAAAATTCATAAAACGATTTAATAAATTCGTAAAAAAATTGATAAAATTCTATATTAACATCAATTAAAAAAATTAGCGTTAATATGTTTTTTTGCAGTTTTTCAAAAAAATTATAACTTGGTTGAAAAATTTTTACTATAACAAAGTTGTTTTATTATAAAAACATTGAACAATTTAGCGTTAAAATTTTTAGTTTTTTATTATTTTCTTCCACGTACGTGGAAAAGTCGATAATACTTGAAATATAAACATATGCATTTGGAGATGCGCATGCAATCATAAAATACTGTACTAATTTACTAGTAGCCGTGAGAATATTTAAAAAACAAACAAACTAAGGTCTATTTTCAATAAATCTACACAGATTGATTGCACTCGTAATGGTTATAGCGTGTTAATAATAAATAAATAATAAATATTTAATGAATAATCGAGTTTCTTTTTAATTATTAATCGTCTCTGACATTTGAGTGGATAACAGAAAACTGTAAAGAATAAACCCGTTTCGTAGAATTAATAGTAAGCATAATGTTAATGAAGCATAAGGAATATCCGATAATCGTATCCATTACTAAACACATTGAATCAAATCAAATGTTGAGCTTTGATTATATTACCATTTTACTTCCACAAAAATACTCATATAAGAGTAATTTCACCTACCCAAACAAGATGGAAACTAATATAGTGTTCTGTTTATGGAGTTCTAAACATAATATTAATTTAAAATAAAGTTAACCATAAACATTAGAGTTCGGCATTAAGAGATCTTAAAATATTTTATTGTTAATTGAGTTTTGAAAAATCAATTAATTACAGTATTAGAGTAATATTCGAGTATAATGAATATTAGAGATGAAGTTATAACCACACCGACAAGTAGTTGATCAAATATAAAAAACATTGATAAGTTTAGTTCAATTTGATTTTATTCGATAATGATAAAAAACTATTGATTAATTTTATAAACACCGATTTCTATGATATCCAAACAATGTACTTTATGGCGTTTTGTTAAAAAAATACGTTCTAAAATTCTATTTGAAAGAAGTCTTGAACTTAATTGTGAAATTTAAAAAATTAATTTTATTTCGAACAGGAGTAAATACCGGTCAAGTAAAATCGTTTTTGGTAATTAGTTCTGAAATTTTATTAAGCGAATTTAATATAGAAATGAAGAAAAAATAATTTGATTTAATTTTTGTTTCAGGCACTTGGCATTGTTCATATTGATTGTATCACTTAACATATCCACATCTTTAGCAAGACAAGTAAGAAATATCATTTTATTTATCGCATGTTTAGTACAAATGTTATTCTATGAGATGGTTTCGTGATTTTTTTGTGCCATAAATGTCGTTGCACTTGTTGTTGGGAGGCAGATAAATAACTGAGCACAGCCCTCCATTCATCAAAAATCCATCGCTTACACACGTGCTGGCCATGTGCTAGTATCGCGTACACACTATTGTGTGCCATTCGAAACATCAAAAGAGACCGGCACCGCTGTCGGTAATCGGTTGCCTGGCGCGTTTATTAAAATGTGCACAACACGATGGCTTATTGGCGGAGGCCTAGGCTGATTATTAATAAATATGCTACGATTCTTTTTTTTGTAACGCGTTATGAACAGATCTAACCATTTTTTAGTGTCATACAATTTTAATTGTTATCATTGAATACAAGTAATATTTTTTTTGCTTCTATATTAATATATAGGGTATTCAGTAACTAAGGAAACAAGTCAATGAGTACAACAGAAACCCGTTTCCTTACTTACTGAACACTCCTCTATATTTACTCCTTTGTATGTTTTGTGAATAATAAATTAGAAATTCAATGTTCCTTACTTCTACTTTTAGATTTCAATTTAGAATGCATTTCATTTTTTTATGTTCATCATTTTAATAAGTTTGTTAATTAAATTATTAACAAACAAATCATTATTTGGTAGCATTATTTTTATGTACAGGCAAAGGAATGATTTATTAAAATATTTAGAACTATAAATCTCAATAATGTTACTTATGACGCATCTTGTGAGAAAAGTCGGCATAATCATAACATATCAAACATAAAATAACATGTCAGACATCATCCGCAATTAATTTGTTAGCAATGACATCATTTATTTAATTATAAAAGTACACTAGCGTTTTACTAAATTTCAAGTGATAGTTATAGGGAAGCTCATTAAAAATTACTCTGATTAATGAAATAAATTTTATAATTTATTATAATTTAATTTAAATTTTAACATTAATTTTATAATTAATTTTAATTATTTTTAAAATAACAAAGTGTAAAAATGCAATGTTTGTCTAAGGTATTTTATATATTCGGACTTTAAAAATTTGAACAATTTAGGACGTAACTTAATAAAACTGGTTAAAATTAACTATTATTTATTAAGGTTTTTAAATTGCATTACTTATTATTATTATTATTGTATACATATTATTGTAATTAGATCATCACTATTTTCAAACGCTTAATCGAGTGTACATATTTTTTTATATAAAACTAAAAAATTATTAACTTTTTATTTATCGTCAGTTCTTTAAATTTATTTTAGTAATTTTAAGTATTATAAGTATTTATTTTTGTAGTCTTTAATATTTTGATTGAGCTTTTACAGCTTTTTTCAAAATAGTCTTCCCATAATTTTTGTTATGCGGCTCTTTTTTTTCTTAAATAGGCTTTTGATGAACTATATTTTATTAAATTGAGAGTAAACCATTTTTTTTTTTAAGAAATGAGTAAAAAAGGAACATCTTATTATATTTATATATATATATATATATTAGGATGGTTAAAAAAATTCAATGTTTAAAAGGTAGTTCCAAATTTAACTATTCACTACTATTTTTTAGCCTAAAAATAATTTTTACCTAAACAATTTGTTTTTTTTTTTTAAGCATTTCAAGTCACTTTTTTTACTCTCTGGAGATTAATTGTACAAGTGTAATTACATATCAAATACATCTTCCTTTACAAGTAGTATTTAAACATCGTTTAGCATACCCGAACTGATTAACTAAGAAAAACTCTTTCATCCTTCATTTAATATTTGAATAATGATTTTTTATTATTTAAGATCTTCTAATAGATTTATATAACTATATAAATACAGATCCAGAAATTTTTATTTCTAGGAAATATTTTTCTAAAAATATGAATTATTTTTAAACTTTAAACTTACGAACAAAATACTTTTAAAAAAATCTCAATTTATATAATATTAATTAACATGATATGGTGATATATGAGTCTCAAAATAAAAAATAAGTCATGACAGTACCTATTTAGGGGAGTCTTGATTCCCATTACGCCCTGGATTTGTCACTGGAACTATAAATCTTAACATGCATATAAAAAATTGTTGTAAAAATTTTTGCTGAGTTGACTTGATGTTTGATATATTGACTCAAAAATAATAATTTTTAATAATTGTTAAATTAATTAAATATTATTTTAGAGCTATATAAACCATAAAATATAAATAACATAAAAGAGTATGGACAACATTAAAAAAAATTTTAGTTGATATATTTCAAAAAATGAAGTGAAATTACTGCTTGAACTGTAATATTATAATTTTTTTGAAAAATTACTAAATTAATTCGATTGTTATCCAAATCAAATGTAACATTGTAGTAATCTGCTTAAAATACCAAAAAATACATTACTTTTAACCCCTTTCGTACACCTGTTTGACAACCCCATAAAATATTTATTCATTATTCTTTTAAGTTTTTTTTCTTATTAAAGAAAAAAAAGAGGTTAATCTTTGACTATAAATCACGTATGTATACACAGTATGCGGTGCTCATCTTTTTGTCCGGTAAAACGGAAATATAATGATTACCAAGAGCTATTTATCAACTCGTCTTAATGGAGATTTTATGTCAACTTGATACAATGAACACAAAAATATGACACGTCGTTTTGCTTAAAACTATTTTATTATAATTTTAGTAAAGCCTTATTGAAATAATGAAAAGTTCTTCTAGACTCTTTCATATATAGTCAAATGCACTTTAATTATAATTACAATACACTTCACTTATGATTTACCAGTGTTTAATTCTATCATATACCAGTGATCAATTAGTTCAGTATAATTGAGAAAATTTTACATTTTTTAAACTTTGTTAAAATAATTTTTTTAAAAATGAACGAAATAAAATAATTTTTTTTGTTATAAAATTACGTTAGATAGTTCCTTTTCATTTGGAATAAATTTTTCAAAAATCTGACCCTTTACCTGCCCACAGAGGTTCATAATAGCAACTTTTGCACAAAAATTAAATTTTTTCAACTTATGTTTTGAAAGTTTTTTGGAAATACTGTACCCTTTAAATTTATGTTAAATTAAAGCTTACATTATCTACTATAAGTTAAAAAAAAATTGTCGTGATGACTTATCTATAACTTAGAAAATAAAGTCTTAATTAGAGATTATAGAAACCTTGAAACAAAATGGACTTCTGCGGTATTAAAAAAAGCACTGGCTAAACAGTAATATTATCATTTTTACATGTTATTCATTTTAAGTAGACACGCTAGTTTTTGTCTTTTGTATTGCGATATCTGAAAAATATATTTAACAATATGAACACAATATTGTTTTTTTTTTTTATAAATTTGGATTTATCCATTTTAATTGAAAAAAAAATAGTTTTTGTGTTCTTATAGATAGTTTATATATAATAAATATATTATATTATTATACAAGGAATTACTGTTTAAATAAGTCCAATCATTTGTAATACAACAGACTAGGAAAAAGTATATTAAAATTATTTTAAAATATAAAGTACCATCTGTAAAAATGAACCATTATATTTACTATTGAAATTATTTATTTAATAACATTTATTGTGTAGTTTAATAAAAAAATTGCACAAAAAAAATATGTGTTATAATTTTTGCGATATATTGACTTTATAACATTATAAAGCATATTTAAATTTGATTATAATAGATTTAAACAAATTTTTTTCTAGTAATAATTTTTGTATTAGATTAAGAAAGAAAATGTATTTAAATAAATTTTTGGTGGTTATTATTACGTTTTTGTGTTTACAAGTGAAATTCATCACGACAACAAGTTCGTCAAATATTACTTCACTTAAAAATATTGTCGGTAATTTTGTGATTAGTGATTTTAATTATATCCAATATAAATATTTATCTGAATTTTATCAATTTGATCATCTATTTGATAATGATGAGTACAAAAAACTTATTGCTAATTTTACAATTGATACTACTGAAAATAATCTTATAGAATATGTGTCAATTAAATATTTTGATGTCAACGATAATAACTTCATTGAAAAACGAAATCTGGTTGCTGGTATGCTTCATTGTAAGTATCTTGAGCAAATTAGATTAATCAATCGCCTTTTGTCATATATAACTAACGAATATTTAAAATATAAAAATAGTATTATAGTTGACAATAAAAATAATTGTTCTGGAATTTGTGAACAAATTTTGGAGATATTAAAAAATAAAAATGATTCTTTCATTGATTTTATTAATCACATGGTTAACAATGTTATATTCATTAGAGAATTTTTTAAGAAAAGTATTAAAATTACATTTAAATTGTTGTGGAAAACAAAAATATGGCATACATTTCAAGAAAATATCAATAAATACCAAAATTCTATAAATAGAGGATTTAAAAATTGTCTGGAACCTTCAAAAAAATTATGTAACTATTTGAAATTGTCGCCCAGAGAAAAAAACTATAATAGAGAATTTAAAAACTACAATAATCAAAACAAATCTATCACTGATGAGAGTTTACGATATGTAACGTTTTTAAGTTATAAGATAGATAAAATTATTGAAGATTCAATGCAATATAATTTTTTTTATAAAAAATTAAATGAAGATAAAATTGTAAATGATAATTAAATAAATAAATGTTAAATATATTTTATATAAATAATAAATTAATAAATATATATTAATAATCCAACCAAACCGTCTACTTTGATCAACATAATTAGTATAAAAATTATACATAAAAATAAACATTAAAGAAAAATATAAGAATAATATTAAAATAAACAATACATTAAATTATTTAGATGGACAATCAAAAATTTTGATATATTTAATAAATTTCAATCAATATTAATCGGTAATTGACTTAAATTTTAAACTGCTCGTAAATATTTACCAAATGTGGGTTTTTAAGGATAGTTTTGAAAAAATACTTGTTACATTATTTTAGGCGATTTATTTAAAAATTTGCACTATCCTTTGGTGACTTGCGTTTGATTTGATTAATAAAATTTTTGAGTTAATTTTTTCAATGAATATGGGAATATTATATTCAGGATTTTATTGCTAAAATGTTCCACTGGTACAAACACATCTTGAAAACCTAAGATAAATTTAGATAAAAATTTGACATTTTTAAAGTTGTTAAACTATTTAAAGACTTTTTTTTAATTTTTAAATTTACACTAAGTGTCAACTCAATTAGACCATCTTATTGAGCTATTGATCAATTTTCTAGGATTTATAATTTACGATAAAATAAAAAAAGATTTTCATATTGATGTTTTTATATATTATAATTGTTATATTGGATCCTTCAGGTCAACTCATATTATAGCCATTCTAATTATACACCTATTATTCACTAGTAAATTTAATTAAAATTAATACTTTAAATTTTAAATTTTTTTATAATCGGATTTCAATCAAAATTTAAGAATTGGAAAACAGCTTTTTATTTATACTTGCATGTTAAAATTTCATTTCGAAAAAATGATTTATTTAAAAATTAGGGTGGTTGAATGATAGTTATATAATAAATAACGCTTATACATGTAAGTTTCTTTAATACGTCACTAAGTACAATATAGAATATTCACATATACAGTTCCGTTACTGTAACTTTTGAATTTGTTGCCTACTTAATACTTAAAATACTAAATGAAATATAGAAATTAAGTTTTGACTTGCTAAAATCCTGTTTTTAATTACTGTACTGTAATTAAATGCCCTCTAGAGTATCTAAAAATATATTAAATTAATCATATGTGCAGTAAACAAAAAATATTTAAAGAATCTAAATTAATTTTTTCGTCTCTGTGAGACGAAAAATATGAGAGGGATTTCAACAGAATTATGTATGAATAAGCCCCTTATAATCCTTCCAGTTGCCCCTATGAAACCAATTAGTAATTTTTATAATATATGATATATGTTATGTAAATATTATTCACATAAGTGATTCGATAGAAGAGAAGCAATGCTATCCGTTCAGACATCATGTTTCTGATTATTGTTATGAACAGCATTCTTATTGTTTTATGCGAAAACGCATTAACCTTAAAGGATTTATTCGTTGAGTGTATTAGTTAAGCGTTGCCATCGGTACACGAGATAATAGTTGCATTAAAAGAACAATAGACGATTTTGAATGTCTCTGTTCACTGCAATGTGTATTGCAGTTAACAGAGATAATTACACAATTACACATACACACCAATAAAATATACCGATTAAAAAAAATTATCCATCACTATAAATCAAATCGTCGTATAAAGGTACGTTTTTTACTTGTATGATTTATGTACATAACGACATACTTGCAGTCTAATTATGCCAAAAAAAAAGTCATAAAAAACATCTGTAACTTTATTGTGATATTTAAAACAATTAATTCTTTGTGTTGTATAATTTACAAATGAACGTTTAAAGTTTTCGTAATAAAATGTATGTAATAATTGTACCAAAATTTAAAATAACTGATAATTTATTATTACAATGATATACAATTATTTAAATAAATTGATGCGTCAACTTAAATTAATATTAATTTAAAAAAAAAATTATTTCAATTTTTCTTACATATAGGATTGTTGTAAGTAAAAAGCAGGGTCAAGAGGCATAGTTTTTTAGGTTTGCATTGGGTGAGGCTGTTATAAAAAATATGTATTAAAAATTAATAAAAAAGTATTAATGATTATTAATATTATCGAATAGTACAGGGTGATTGATTTACTACGCCTTATGATAATTCAAAGATAATTACTAGTCAACGACCCAGTATGTATATCAATGGCAGTACCAGAAAACTGATTGAAAAAAAGTACCCAATTCATTTGCGTGTATTTGTTGAAACTATAATGAGTATATGCATTTTTTTAATAAATGTTCAATTTTATCATTTAGTTGATTGTGTCAATTAGGGTTTTTGTAAATTATTTGATGTAATATACTATAACCACTGGGAAAAAATAAATAATATACAGCTATTATATTACATTTAATAATTTAAGCTACAGGTGTACACTGGCAACCCCCTTCTGCGAGTAAATTAATTTCATATGTATTTATCTTTTGTGAAACATTGGTAGTAATATTTATAAATGGTAATAGTTCTTGTGAAGTATCAAATCTCTACAGGGATAATACATTTACAAGTATCATGGTGAATTATTATAGTCAAGGAAAATATTCAAAAGCTACCAATTGTTATTTAATAGTACGGTAAATAGCTTTATGTGTCATTGAATACCTTTTGAACAATGAAAAAGGTAGTGTTACGATTGTTTTTTTCTTTAGCTTTACTTCTTTTATTAGTACATAGAATCAATTTAAAAGAATAATGTATTGTTATCTTGAATATAAGATTACTTAGGGACGATACAAATTATTCAACAGTATGATTATCATAATTACTTCACAACTACCTGCATGAGGATTACAACATGATGTTATTTATAGAATATAAATTTAAAAATACTGATAGTACGTTGAAGCATAGACGCAATCTAGGGGAGTCTAAAGGGCACTAATTTTGTTGCAGCATCCCAAAATTTATGAAAATTACTTGCCAATTTTTATAGAAAAATGATTAAAGTGGAGGAGTAATTAAGTAATATTCCCCAAACAGTTTGTTCAAATTTCGTTTAATAATATTTAAGAAAAGTTGCTTTATGACTTGGTTATTGATCGATAACGTTCCTTACATTTAGAATATCCACAAAGCAATCCTTCGATTCCAACAATCATCTTGTTGCATTAGCCAGTAACTTTTCTTTTTTAATAGATACATGCAATTTTGGTGTTTAGTAAAATACTCTAGCGTTGAAGTAAAGCATTTATAATGGAGGTATGGCGTCTGGATTGAAGCGTGGAAACTGAAGGGGTAGAACTCTATATTACTCTACATTCTAGAAATTATATGGATCTATTCTATAATAATTTCTCGGATACACCACTGAAGAGGAATTTTGCTTTGGTAACTGTAAAGGAACTTCCAGGTTTTAAGTCCGACTATGTTTCCTGAATAATTAAATATTTTTACCTCACACAAATGTGAAATAATTTATCTTGTATATCATTAATATTTTGACAAGAGATGTTCAATCAAAATTAAAATGAAAATTAAAGTTCTTTATTGTTTAAATTTATATTACTATTATTTCATATATGATTTTTTTTTTTAGAACTGTGAATAAATTTAAATATATTGTTAAGATATACAAGAGTTTCCGAAAAATTAATTACAATGTTTATATATACAAATGGCAAGTTGACCTTGAAAAAAAAATATTTTTGAAAATAACAACATATGTTTCTGTTTAGAAATCATTATTGTGTTTCTAGCAAAATAAAATTTTTTTACGCTTTTATAAGTCATATAAAATGAGTTAAAAAACAAAATTTCTATGGTAGTAAACAACAAAATTATCTTTGAAAATACAGACCCCTCAATAATAGTTTATATATGAGCATTATTTATTAACCAACAGCTTTATAATATTTATAAGCAAATTTCTAATTAAATAATTTATTTAATTTAAATTACTATTAATTGTTTTTTGTATACTCGATTGAAGTTTATCGACTTGCTGTGATTTAAAATTAGTTATTAATCTAAAAATATATGTTGTACATTATGTTATATATTTTTATTAATAATGTAATGAATAATACAATAAATAAAATTCATAATCAATATTGGTAATAATTTTTTGTGACTTGTACTGTGTGAAATAATTTTAAAAATATCAAATATTTGAAAAACACTTGTGTAAGAGCACCATTGAAATTGTATACTAATTATGATTCATAAATTATATATCATATTTAATGATCTCTATAGTGATCAAATTAATCATATGGGAGGTGTGTTGTTTCTCAAAACCGTATATTTGATGGTATATGTTAAAGCGGTCACTCGATACACAAGAATATTAATTACCGTAGTGACCATAACAGAACCAATAAAATAATGTAACATGTAGACCGTTCACGTTGCACTCACATCTCAGATAGGTATCGACAGTTTCCTTAAGAGATGTGTCTGTTTGCACGGTATTCACAATTTAAAATCGTGATCCATAAAAGAAACACTGTCCTCGGGTAGTTTAATTTTTTTGGTATATCTTAATATTTGAATACATTTTTTAATCTTTATTTGGAATCATCGTTTCTTTGGTATTTTACTAGATTTTGCTAACCATATTTTCTATGGTCATTGCTGATGATATGGAAATCGTGAGAGTTGTATAATCCATGACATGTTGTAGTGTATTTTTAACACTCCATTAATCACTATTTCTAACACACAGTTCTTGATCTTATCCATGTATAATATATTATACTACACGCTGATTGCTTATGTACACATATAAATAAATGATATAATGCTTAGGTGCATCACTGCGTATGTAAGTAATTTAGAACCAACTTCTATTGCATTTGATTATTAATCGATGGAACACTTAATAGAGTCTTAGAAAGTAATATCGTGTTTTTTAGTTTAAATAAAACAATTTAGTATTTTACAAAGAATTAAATATGTTAAAGCATTTCACTGATACGGAGACTTAATGGAAATCTTTAACGATGTTAAATTAATTTATATTTTCATAGGAAAGTTTTATTAATTCCATTACTATTACTAACTTTTAGGGTTGAATTTAATTTTATTAACAATATTATTACTTTAGAATATTTTAAGTTGTTTTTCTTTTCAAATTTTATCTAAACTTAACTAACATTGAATACAACGATGCAGTCCTAGAGAATTGATAAGCAATTATTAAGTCTTGATTACTTATTTTCAGCACCGTATACGACACGGCCGACACAAAAGACAACAATGGAATACTACATTTAGCAGTTCCGGATTTATACCGGAATATCATGTGTACTTAGAAGGTGGAGATCCTGAAGGTTATGGCCAATGGTCTTCTTGGACAGACGATGGCCAGTGTTCTCGAAGTTGTGGTGGCGGAGTAGCCTGTCAAACTAGGCGGTGTTTGTCCTACAGGTTGGTTACTTGATAAAAAAGAACTAAATTAATTTTTTAAACTAATTTGAAAAATATGAAATACTAAATGTAATAATCGTTAATAACTCGTTTTTCATTTTATTTAGACCTGATGGCACTCAAGATTGTAGAGGACCGTCTAAACGATATTTCTCTTGTAATACACAAGTAAGTTGTGCTTTATTTATTACATAAAAATCTTAGGACAGCAAATATGGATAGTTTTTTTGAGAAGATAGTCAAATCAAATTTTGTCAAGGTTTTTTGTTAGTTTTATTTGAAATTTTCTTATTCGATTAGTGGTATCATTATTATTCGTTGTTAGTTTTGTTATTTTCAGGGATCAGATTAAAAAAAGAATTTTTTTCTAAAATAAATTACTTTTAAATGTAATGTTTGAAAATAATTTATTTATGTTTTATAAGAATTGTTCAATGTTTTAAGTTGTATTATGTTTAATGATATATTACGTTTTATTTTTGTTTTTTTCTTTTAAATGCTATAATTATAATGTTATTCATAATGATTTCTTACTCGGGCTATTTTTATAATGGGATTTATATTTAAACATTTTTATTTACCACCAAGTAAATTTTTTCTGTTATTTTTGGAAAAATAACTACTTTTAATGACTTTTTTAAAAAACGTCATAATAGACCTAACTTTTTATGTATTTTTCAAGTTTATTCCTTTTATCATATAAGGGCATCGATTAATTATTGTCAGATAACAGCATATGTAATTAACTAGCTTATTTATTAATTAATTATTTAATGAAGAAAATGATTGGTCGATATAAACTTTTGGACCAATATTTCAAAAGTTATTAAAATTTTAAAGTAATAACTAGAAATGAAGAATGGGTACTGTTGTTTTATTACTAAACATTTCCCGGTCAAAATCTTCTTTCAATCAAAGTATTAACATTTCAATAACTTTTGAAGCACTGGTCCAAAAATTGATATCGATCAGTCATTTTTTTCATTATATTTGTATCTATTAAATAATATAGTTAAAATTATGTGTATTTCCATTTGAAAATTTAGAGTTAACATCCATCCTTGTATAAAGGATGGTATAAAGGATAAGCATACAAATTATTTTATAATTGGAAATTTGAGGAAAAAGTACAGTGAAAAACTGTATAAATTTTAGTCTAGTTGCCTCTGTCCTAGGGCACACTCATATATCTTATATTAATAAAAGTCTATAATTTTTTCATGATATAAAACAAATTACTAATGTTTAAATAAATTTATAAATTGACACAATATTTTGTTTTAGCAATGTCCTTCAGGGAGTTTAGATTTCCGACTCGAACAATGTTCTGCGTTTAATAAAATAAGTTTTGAAGGAGCTATGTACGAGTGAGTGATAACGTTTTTACGACTGTATGCTATTATTAGTAGTTTAGGATTTTTTCATCCTTGTTAATTTTTATACTTACAGATGGGTACCATACACTAAAGGCTCAAATAAATGTGAACTCAATTGCATGCCAAAAGGTGAACGTTTTTATTATAGACACAGGAACAAAGTTATAGACGGTACTTTATGCGACAGCGAGTCATTAGATGTTTGCGTCGATGGCAGATGCATGGTAAATATAATTATTATGATTACTTTTAATTTTTAATTTTATGATTTTATATCGAAAACGTATTATTATATTAAAATTAACCTATTAGATAATTCTCATACTTCTTTAGATAATTTGATATAGTTTACATATGTTTTAAGATAGTAATGTCAAGATTTCTGTATGCTAAATATCCTAACGTTAGAATAGTTAGAGCTTAGAGTGGCATTCAACTCTCAATTCCGATTTTAGTAAAATTATGTTTTAAATTTTCATCTTCTTTAATTAATTAAAATTTACGGAAAATAAATGCATTTTTTTTTTATTTCAATAAAATTATAAATTTTAGCCTGTTGGTTGTGACAATATTCTCGGCTCGCCAATTAGAGAAGATCGATGTCGTAATTGTGGTGGTGATGGAACTGACTGCAATACAGTTAGAGGAATTTTGGACATGAACGACTTACAGTATGGTAATACAATAAAAAATATTATTATGTAAATAAGGAAGAATTTCAGGGGCGTCATTTTAAATTATACTAAACTGGAACAAATTTATTACCGGTCAAACATTTCACAAAATTTCTCGCTTTGCTCGGGCTTTATCCCCTTTAATATAACTACTAGACTAATTTTTTAAATAAATATACATATTTATATTTAACTTTTAAAAAAAATGACTACTTTATTATTTAAAAAAATATAAATCATAATTTTAATAATGTTTATACTAATTTGAAGTGTGAAGTTTTATAACAAAAACAATTAATAAAACAAATAAACTTCATTTATTATAACTTAAAAATATAAATGATAAAAATCATTCTTTTATTTTTAAAAAGTATTTAAAAAAAGATCTATCTATTTAGTTTAATGTTAAATATTATAAAATATTAAAACAACGTCCTATATGATGGCAGAAAGAAAAATATAACGTACTTTTAAAGCTAGCGGATACTTGTGATCATTTTTATTAACAAAAATATCTAGAGTTTCCTTAAATTGATTTTTGAAGCCTCTTCTTATTCTACTAATATAACTGATAAATCATTAAGTCGAAAGTCACCTATATATTAGTCTTGAATAAAATGTTATTAGTTTAAGAAAAGAAAGAAATCTCTGATTTGAAACAGAGAAAATAAATAAAGTATTTAAAAGTAATATTGTATATATAGTTGTATAGATTGGTTTTTGTAAAATAAAAGAAAAAAAAAGTAATATTATTTTTAAAGTTTCAGGATAAAATTTGAGAGGTTGAAGTAAAGCTTTTGAATTTGAATAAAGATTATGAATAACATATTTTTCATTATTTTCGTTAAAATAACTTATAAAAGATTTAGAACTTAAAAATTCAACTTCTAAATGTAACATATTAATTTTAAAATACTTGTAATTATCTAAAACTCTTTAGAATAAGGATAATTAAAATTAAAATAGTCAGGACAAGAAGACAGAAAATCGTTACTTATTAAAATAATGATTTTATTTAAATCATTAAAGCGTTTGTCAAATTAATTTACAGAAATCTACAAAAAAAAAATTAAAAATGTGTCATTGTGTTTTCTATCTATGATTATTGATAACAAAGTGATTTTAAAATAGTGCAATTTATCATAAGTTATTGAGCAAAAATTATTTTTCTTTCCAATCAAATTTGAATTTTAACTATGTATTGATTTCATTAAATGACCCGGTATGGCTTGATTTAATAGGAGTATGGGATGACCGGTCCCAATATGTACTGCTAATTAAGAATGGAGCAAATTTCCAATTAATCCCCCAAAAATAACGCTCCTGGAGAATTTAATAATATTTTTTATTTCATTTATAAAATATTTANAAAAAAAAAAAAAAAAAAAAAAAAAAAAAAAAAAAAACACATCATAGTAAAATTAATACCTTCTCCGCTTCGCATCGAAGCTAAAATGTATTAATAATGTTTTATTTGTTTTATTTAATATGTATTAGCTCGCATGTAAAATATTAAAATGTTTAAAAGTATACCGTCAATTTTTCAAGGTTACACGGATATTTTATTAATTCCTGCCGGTGCTACAAATATTAGAGTTCGAGAAATTCAACCATCAAACAACTATTTAGGTAGGTTAAATTATGTTTTATTTACTAACAAATAATGTTTTGTATATATGAATTCAAACTAAAATTTTAAAAATTCTAGCAATTAGAAATATTACTGGACATTATTATTTAAATGGTAACTGGAAAATAGATTATCCAAAAAGTCTTTATTTCTGCGGGACAGTTTTTCATTACGAAAGAAAAAGGAAAGCATTATATACGCCAGAAATAATAACAGCTCTAGGGCCAATTACAGAAGCCATCTACATTGTTGTATGTTTTAATATTTTATTTTGATTATCTGTAATAATAATTTAACAAAAATAAAATTTGTAAATGATAATATATTCATTTTAATGTTTTAAAGCTGTTGTATCAAGAAGTGAATCCAGGTATTGAATACGAATACAGCATCCCGACCAATGCTGTCAGACAAACTTTATCTAGAGGATACAATTGGATGTATAGTGAATTTACTAAGTGTACTTCGACTTGTGGTGGTGGTAAATATATTTAACTTATAAACAGAACATTTCGAAAATATAAATAATAAAAAACATTGTCTTAAGATCAAGAATGAATATAATGAAAAACCTTTAGAGCCCTAAAGGAATATACGGCCTAAGGAATATACACCAATTTATGAAAAATCTTACTTAAAAAATATATTTATATAAAAATTTATATGACTTTTTTGAATTTGGTAATAGTGATTAAACGAAAATAATTTTTTTCTTACTTTAAAGTCTGTTTAAGTATACAGGAGAAGTATTGAAAATATTGTTTTTCTTACATAATAATATATTACATCAATTTTATTGAATAAAATCTTAGATTTTAGAAATTCAATAAAATGAAAAAATATTTTTAAAAATTGAATTATTTAGCCTCTGCTTATATATTCTTAATAAAGACACCTAATTTAAAAATTAGTTTTAAAATCGTTTCATTTTATAAAGATGTATCCCCAAAAACTTTTTTTTTTTTTTGATAATGTTTTAATAATGCTTTTATAACATTATTTTATAAAATTGTTATCTGGGAAAAAGGCTGTAATAAAAAAAAAAAACTAATATTAATTTTTCATTAATATTATTCTACCTTAAATTTTGCTATCTATACTTTAAAAAATGTGTGTTACTAACAATTTTTCATTTTTTAGGATTAAGAACTCGAAATGTTTGGTGTGCTCAAAAGAACGATTCGACACCTGCTTCTTCGGAACTTTGTGATCCGGCTCTTGAACCACTAAAAACTCAATCTTGCTCGATGGAGCCGTGTCCACCCAAATGGTTACCATCAAAATGGTCGGAGTGTACTCATAAATGCGGCACTAATGGAACTCAAACGAGAGAGGTAACTTTTAATTATTTTCCCTGTTGAAACCTCATATTGTAATTATATTTATTTTTATTTATGATCGAGTTTTGTCATTACTTTATTTTTTCATAAATATTATAAATAATTAAATTATTGTTGTCTTTAAAGTGAATTTGATTACATATTTTATTAGGGATGTCTCATAAATATTTTAAATAACACAAAACAAAATAATAATACACTTAAGCAAAAATATTAACATAAATAAATTTTTAAAAATTATCATAATTTTTTTTTGAAAACATGTACATATGTTAAATTAGTGTAATGATTTTTTTTTACATCCATTAAAGCAAGCCTATATTAAACTCTTTGTGACCTAAAATTGAATTGAATAATAACAATAGATATTATTTAAGCGTTTTGGATTGCATCAATGTGTTTTGTTTATGTATATAAACCTTGTTTATTTATTTTATGGCCAAGATATTCAATTGATTTTTGTTAAAACATAAATTTCTTTAGCTTTACCCTAAAAACGGAATTATTAAAAACATTTAATAATTTACCTACTTTGATGTTGTGTTCCTAAATTTTACTACCCGCCACTATTATTTCATCTTAAAATACCTCAATTCCAGTAATTTCTACTGTGGTAATTTCCATAGCATTTTGGAATTCACCCACTGATGATTTTATTCCCGAGGGACTTCTAGTATAACAGAAAAGACCTTTGTGTATTTACAATTCAATTCTTTAATAACTATTTATTGGTAGAATTATTTGAGATTTATTTTCAAAAAATATTTGGAGTTACTTATATTTGTTAATTGTGCTCAATTTTGATAAGGAAATATTCTTTACTTTTTAACACTGAATCGTAATTCTAAAATCCCCTTAGATTCTAACTGTACCGTTGGATTTTAGTATTGGGAAGTATTGGGGTGATTCATTCATTATAATTTAGCAAAATTAGTATTTTCTGTTAACTAAAAGATAGATTTCCGTTTTTACTTTATTTTTAAGAGCTAGTGGAATTGAATTCGAATTAAAACATTTTTATAATGAATTTTTTTTTATATTGATTAAAATTGCCTGTAGTGTCTTTAAATAGATCTTAGTATGAGTTCAATATAACATTCAGATTATTATCTTTTCCACATTATTATAAATGCGTGAATAATTTGAATCAATGGAGACCCACCCTTTTTCTATCACATTTATTCACATTTTAAATTGATTTAAAAAATTTTTCGCATTTACTTCTATTTTTCCTATTGGATTTCTGTTATTTCTGACACAGTCAGAAAGAAATTGTCATTGTTTAATATTATGATATTACTAAAAAGAGCAGAATAAATTTTTTTTTAAATTACACTATGTAAAGATTCTATCTATTAAATCTTAACATCTGCATTCTCTATTAATAAATTATTTCTAAATGGTTTAATTCTATTTTGAGAATTATTTTTTATCAAATTAAAAAAATTATGAGATAAATTGTACTCAACTGCTTAATCATCTATTGTTTCATTAGAATTTTCAGTTAAAAATTTAGTGTATGAATGGATATCATAATTTTACTTAAAATTCATATTATATTTTCACATAGGTACCAAACGACCTTTTGAATGTTGCAGCTAGAGTCCTAATACCGACAGTTTCTTCGTAAATAATATGAGCGGCCACATACTTTACACTTTGATTTATCAGGTGGTTGATAATTGACCTATTTATTTTGGTGAAGTTACTTTTGATAATTGAGTTCAGATTCATTCTGTTTCCAGGTATTTTATTCTCTCATTATAGTTTCTTTAGTAGTCGCTATGTCCATTAAATTCGCATACATAGTTTTTAGATCAGATGAATCTTCTTCTATTAGTCGGTCTTGTGTTTTACAAGCACGCATTTCTACTACGAATATACCTCGTAATTCTAGCAAGAATTTGCATTTTGATGCATAATTTTAGACATAAACCCATTTATTACAATGATCCCATTCCGCCACCGTTTCATCAGTACGTTATTTGCCGGATAAAATGTATGTATATTCCTCCGTGCCTATTTGCTGTGTTTTTAATATGAAAAAAACATTGAAAAATTAAAAAAAATAAATCTTTATTGAGAAATAACATAGTTGTTAATAATGTGTGTGTTGGTGATCGCACTCGAGAGCAGTAGAAAATCCACACTACTGAATGTCCTAAATTTGCTCCCTTTAATTTTGGTTTGCCTATATTTCATGAATAAGTGACAATGGAATTAATTTCCATACATTGAAATACATTTGTAAAAGAGGATAATAATATCCTTAGTCTACTTTAGCAATCTTACACATTATATAAAATAATTATTTCTAATAAATTTCACTTAATGGAGAATATAAAAATTATATCAACTTACTCATTAAAAGTATTTGGAAAACTAAATTCAAATAATATTATTAAATTAGAACATGCCAAAACTCCTCTATGAATGTCAAAGTTGAGTATAAGAATAGATCTGTCATATCACAAGAAAGAAAACAATATCGAGTTTTTCTATAAACAACTACCTTACTTTAATGTTACTCAATATTATTAGACAATGACCAAAGTGAACACTTCTACAATGATGCATCAAAAAAATAAATAAAAAATTATGTTTAGAGGTAATATAGAGTATAAAAGAGTATATGTATACTCAATAATAATGCACCTATATACACAGCTAAAGTGGTTGCCATACACGAAAGCTTCAACATCTTAGAATTATAAAAAAAAAAATATATTCAACAATTTTTTCTAATTTGTTTATTAGGTATTTAAAATAAATATCACCCAACCGACAAGATTAACACAAAACAAAATCCACAGGCTTGAAAAATAAGGTTTTCATATAATGTTAATGTGGATACCAATTCATATAATTATTAAATGTAATGAATTTATAAATAAATTAGCTAAAAACTTTACCTTAACAACAACACACGAACATTGAAAGATAAATTCTTATAACGATATAAAAAACATTATACAATAATTGTTAATTATTCTTTTCCTTTAAAGAATGAATAAAAAGTGATTTTCTTGTAACACTATATTAATAACGAGATCAGAAAACAAATCTATCTAGCCTCTCAACCAATATAAAATACATTTCTAAAAATCTGAAAGTAATTATCAGTATACTAAGGACATACGAGATTAACCCATGGTCATCTTATAGTCAAACATTTAGCATTTATATGTGACTCTTATAGGAACGAGCTAACAGTTAAACAAATTTTTAATAAATGTAGAAAATATACAGATACATATCACCAATTACGAAAAGGAGATTATTTGCTATCAACATTAGTTCACTCCGAAGAAACAGGAATAAAATTCATCATCAAAATAAACTTCTAGATATCATATAAAAATGTATTTACTTGTAATTTATTTTTTTTAATTTTATTTGTTATCATAATCTTAAAGTATTGTATATTTTATCTTAATATTTCAAAATGTTATTGTAATTAATTTAATCTAAGTCCAATAGACTGAGTTACTGTGGGTTCAAATAAATAATTATTATATTAAAATGCATAAAAAAATATAATTCATACAAAAATTATTTAATTTTTCAAATTTAGATAAAATGTATGCGTCAAGTAAATGGTGAACACATACCTATTGATAGTGCTTATTGCGAACAATATGATGGTCCTAAACCAGAAATGTTACAAAGTTGTAATGTTGGTTTAGAATGTCCTCTTTGGCATACCAATCCATGGAAACCAGTAAGCTATTTTTTATACATCTACTTAATAGAATCATAATTCTATCACTTCCTAGTAATTTTATCATTTATTCATTAGAATATAACTTGCAAATATATTAGCTTCGATGCAATGCTGAGAAGGTATTAATTTTACTATGATGTGTTTTTTTTGTGTCTGTTATCACTAATCTCAGCTCTCGCTGGACCGATTTTAAAAAACAATACGTCAAAATTATTTTACTATATGGTTTTTTTTGTGACTATCATTTATTTTCTCAGCACTCACTTGACCTATTTTTACGATAAAAATTCAAACAAATATTGAGCTTTTCTGATAAATTTAATGTTAATAGTAATTATAAAATTTCTTAACTGCATATTAATCTTAACAATAATATTTTTTTAATTCTCATAAAATTTTCTATTTAATGATATCAATTTCAAACTTGCAAGTTGAGCTAAAAGTTATGGTAACAAATTCAACTTTTTTTTAATATAAACTTCAAAAAAAAAAAATTTTAAACGACCAAAAAAATAGATTAAAATATCATTTTGCACTGATTATATTTAACATTTTAAAAATCAAAATCAGTAATAATTTGAAAACAATTTTTTTTTGTTTTAATTATTTTTTTATATATAAATACTTATTTTTTACTAGTTAGTAATAATATCAAAAATTAGAAGTGATAGAAAATGTTTAATTTCAGATTTGAAAGCAGCGCGAAAAGTTGAAAAAGAAAATTATATTTTTGTTTCTGATGAAAGTTCTTTGTAGTCCAGTGCATTTATTCATATTTAACAAACAGTTTTCATTGAAAAGTATTACATTAAGCCCTTTAAATTTTTATACGCATTAAAAGCAAAGAAATATACAACTACTTTATTATTTTTATAATTTCTCCGTATAAATTACAATATTAAGTTATTGACTATAAATTTGATACTAAATTTAATTACTATAATTAGTATTTATTCATATATTATATTTTTAAATCAATGAACCCCTAATTAAGATATAATTAAGGAAAAAGGAATTGATGTTGCTTTTATAATTATCCACCAATTTCTTAGAATTAAATACAATCTACAGATTTGCATCGAAGCGTTTGCAAGTGAAGACGAGATAAATTTTTTAGCACACTGTGAGTGTTTAAACATTTTATCATAACGCTCATAGCCACTAAGGTTTTTCAATTTAAAACCTGAAAAATTTACTAAACTTGTATAGAGATATTCCAAAAATATCTTGATAATTTCTTTGAAATCCTTGATTTTTGACAGCGTTATGAGATTTTTTCTCAACACTTATATCCACGAAAATGATATTTTTCCGTTTTGCTCATATAGCACTGTAATTAACATGCTACTAAGATGGTGGAAAAATCCGAAATCGGGCCAAAATTCTACCAGATGTAAGAATTTATCGCCTATATATCATTGACATAGAAAGAAATCTTATTAATGCAACATTTTGAAAAACTACTTTTTTTCAATAAATCAAATGTTTATTGTTATAATAATAGATATTTCTCCATAATTTCGATTTACATAATTTTGCCGTACAAAATCATAATAAATTTTATCACTTCTTTTTTTTTATTAATTTTAATGATAACATTTTTATATAGACATATGAGTTGACGTTTCTACATTTTATACGCAAAAGTATAATACAATTTTTTATTCTGTATTTTGTAATTTAAGTACAGTATTTTACTATTTCAGTGTGATCAATTATGTGGACCTGGCAAGCAAACTAGAAAAGTAACATGCTATAGAAAAGTAAATAAAAAAGTTACTACTCTCAATGATAGTGATTGTGATTCTCAGAAGCCAGAAACAGAAAAATCATGTGAACTGCGACCTTGTGAAGGCATTGATTGGATAGCTTCCATGTGGTCTGGGGTAAGTTCTGCAATTTTTTATTATAAATAAATTAACTTGTCACCATAATATGTCTACTTATTCGTTTAGTGTGATGGATGTAATTCGGATATTGAAACAAGACAAGTGATATGCGCGAATTCAAAGGGCAAAATTTTTAATTCTAAACTTTGTGAGCCATCAAGGCAACCAGAAACTACTAGAAATTGTACTACATCAGATGCTTGTGAGTTTCAATGGTATGCCACTCAATGGAGCGAGGTATGTTTGAGTTGAACAATAAAAAGTTAGAAAACTACAAATGTGCATCATTTTTATAGTGTTCGTCCAAATGTAGTACTGGGGTACAAGTTCGTAAAGTCTTTTGCGGTACTCTGGTTGACGAAACAATAAAAAAGGTAGATAGTACTAAATGTGATCTTGCTAAAAAGTATGAAGATACCAAAAATTGTACCGGAAAGGAAACTTGTAAAGGAGAATGGTTTTCAGGACCATGGAGTGCGGTAAAAAAAATCAAAATATTATTTTATGTTTTGGTCCTACGATATGAAATAAAAATTTTAATTTTTAGTGTTCAAAGCCGTGTGGATCAGGTGAAAAAAGCAGAAAAGTATTCTGTATGATTGGTAATAAGACTGTTGATATTAAACAATGTAACAAAGACACAATTTTGTTTGATAATGATAAATGTAATGATAAGCCGTGTGGCGGAGGTAAGTGTCTATGCAAAAGTTTTTTATTAAAAAAGGTTAGGTTTTTTTAATTATACGAAATTATTAAACGTGCAGATGAAATCTTGCCGGTTGATTTGAAGACACCTATTTTAGAAGAAGATGCATCTGAAGAGGAATGTGAAGAAGAAATGATTACTGTAACACCATTTGCAATTGAACCCGATAATGAGGTTGTATTCAAGTCTAAGTTATCTAAAAATATTATTCAAATAAAAAATATAACCAACATCTTCTTAATAGTTAACTGTCACATAAAAAAATATATTTTTGGGTGTGTAGGTAATCGGAATCTGATGTTTTTTAAAACTTGGATTCGGATTCAGTGATCCCAAAAACATATAGTAAACATAGTGTGACAATCAGTGATAAATAATAAGTCATCGATTTTATTTATAATAAAAATTATCTCACTTTACTACACTAAATGCTTGTAGTATACAATTACTATTATATTCTTAAATATTATTTAAACAAGAAAAACAATGTATTTAACTGAATTTATTAATTTTAGCTGACCACTCCATCTTACTCTCCAGATAATGACAAATCTACAGAAGTAATGGTTGATGCTTCAACTATTTCACTTTTAGATAGAAGTACAACTAATGAAGAATCAACCTCTGAAGTAATTTATGAGGAACTTCTGACAAGCACAAGTTTACCTTTAATTACGAGTAGCAAATCTAAAACTTTATCTAGACAAGAAAGAGCTACTTCTGGGCTTTCTAAAACTACAAAAGCAAAACCCTCTAAACCTTCAGGAATAACTGGAAAAATAAAACGAAAAAAAAGAGAGGCTCTTCAAAATATGCAATTAGTAGAAGAAAATGTAACATCCTCTCTTATGTCTGACGAATCCACAACAAGTGACATGTTATCAACCGATATTTTATCTACTGAAATGACATCTAGTGAAGTTACATCTACTGAAATGACTTCTACTGAAATGACATCTACTGAAATGACATCAACTGAAGTTACATCAATTGATGTATCATCAATCGATGTATCTCTTACCACATCAGTTAAAATAACATCTGAACAAGAACAAGCTAATGTGACCAAAATGTTAGAACTTTCGACTGCTATTGACGACCGAGATGAATTGACTACAGTAGCACCACAAAAAATATCAGAAGTCACTTTATTTGATACATCTCCAGAATCATCTACCAATGTAGAAAAAGACAGTACAACGACGGAAATTATTCTTACTTCTAACCAACCACTTATTTCATCGGAAATTGAATCAACCACAGAACAATTATTAACAGTATCTGTATCCAATACTGAACCATCTCTTATGAGTTCATCCAATACTGAACAAATATTTGAATCATCATCTAGTACAGAATCAACATTGATATCTTCAATAACTTCTGAAATGTTATCATCTGTGTCCACTGAATCAATTCCAACGTCCAGTATTGTATATAGTTCGACTTTTATAGATAGTTCTACCGAAAATCCAAAGTATTCACTTTCCACTAGTTCCAATCCCACAATAACTACAAAAAAAGGTAATTTTTATTATAAATTTAATTTAAAAGAATGTCTTGGCCTAGTTTATTTTAAAAAACTTAATTTTTAAGTTCAGCTGTTATCAACATGTAGCTATTTTACGTTTTTTCATATTCATCTCAAATTATAATGTAACTAAAAGATAAACAAAGTATAGTAGAGATTGAAGTGGAGTTGAGTTTGCATTAGTATTAATTAATATCTGATAGTGATTAAAATTACCATAGTAAAACGTTCGAAGCGTGTTTTACAATTATAATTTAATTTTTCGAAATTTGTATGTAAATTTAAAATAATATAAAAATAGTTTATTGTTTTAATTTTATTTAGAAACTTCAGTTAAAAAGAATCCATTACTTATTCCAAATAAAAAAAGTTTAAAATGTAAAAAGAAAAAAAGAGCTTGTGAAAAATCAGAATTTGGATGTTGTTCCGATAGAAAAACTGCTGCAAAAGGACCATTTAGCGAAGGTAAAATAAATATATAGATATACAAACTGGTTATAACAAAATATTTGCAATTAACATTTTCAAGGTTGTCCGAAAATACACACTTGTAAAGACACTGAATATGGTTGTTGTTCTGACGGCGTGTCTCCAGCAAATGGACCTCAAAATGAAGGTTGTCCACCCTCTATGTGTAATGAAACTTTGTATGGTTGTTGTCTCGATGGGTTCAGCATTTCTCAAGGAAACGATAATGAAGGTTGTCCCGTAGAGATGACTACTGTTCCGGTAGTCATTACCACCGAACCTCTTGAAATTAGTTGCCATAACACACAGTAATTACATTTATAGAATGATATATATTCAAATAAATTATCTATTTCATTTATAAAAGTTTTACTTATTTGTGTATATAAAGATTTGGATGTTGTCCAAATGGAATTACTCCAGCTATTGGGCCCAGTAACCAAGGATGCTACGAATGTGTTGAAGGCTCTGGTGAGTGTGATTCGTGTTCAGATACAAAATATGGTTGTTGTGTGGATAATATCACTGCAGCTAATGGACCAAACTTCGAAGGCTGTCTAGATTTAAGTAAGATTTAAATTGAAGAAATATTTTAATAATGAACTCTTGAATTTCTTGATTATTTATGATTTATTTGTATTATTTACAAACAAAAATGAACTTAATCACATTTTATGTAAGAAATCTAATTCTTTTAGCAACAATCGAAAATGATATTATAACATCAACTGATTCATCGACTCAATCATCAACTGATGATATTTTCATTGATTCATGTAAATCATCTGAATTTGGGTGTTGTCCAGATGACGTAACTGCAGCAACTGGACCTAATTTTGAAGGATGCGATAATTTTGGTTTCAATAACTGCACAGCTGATGGAAACGATACCGGTATTAAAATTAATAGCCGATAAAGTTTTGTCATATTTAAATATATTGTTTTATTTTAACATCTAAACCTTATTTCAGATTGTACACCATCGTGTATGGAGACATTGTTTGGATGTTGTGACGATAATAGTACTGCTGCTCATGGACCAAATAAAGAGGGATGTTGTTTAAATTCTCAATATGGATGTTGTCCAGATAATATAGTCAAGGCTAAAGGAATCAATTTACAAGGTATCTTTAATAAATAAGCTTCAGTTTGTAATTAAATTACCATAAGAATTTTTTCTTTTTTCTTTTTTTTTTTATAGTTATAGTGTTATTATACTATTACAATGAATTAATTGATTTTTCATAAGATATTAAGTGTTTCTTTTTTTTTAGAATATAATAATATTTTAATTTTTCAAAATTTAAGCTCAGTTTATCTTTTATCTACCAACAAACATTCATATAAAATTTACGCTAAGATATTAATTAGAAGATTGTAAATAATTTTTTTTAATATACCCACAATATTATATTAAAGGTTGTGGTTGTACTTACACTCCATTTGGTTGTTGCCCCGATAACACTACAGCTGCTAGAGGACCTGAAAATGAAGGCTGTGGTTGTCAATATACTGAACACAAGTGTTGTCCTGATAAGTTTACATCTGCATCTGGACCACAATACCAGGGATGTCCTTGCCACACATATCAGTTTGGATGTTGTCCAGATGGCGTTTCACGTGCTCTTGGTCCAAATTTACAAGGTTGTGGATGTGAAAATTCACAATTTGGATGTTGTGGTGATAATACAACACCAGCTAAAGATGCGTCTAAAAATTGCACCTGTGAAGCTTCTAGATACGGTTGTTGCTTGGATGGTATTACTGAAGCAAGGGGTGAAGATTTTGAAGGATGTATTACAAGACCCTTAATACCAGGAGGTAATTTTAATATTTGTTATGAGTACATTTTATTAATTAAATTATTTTTATAATATGTTAAACAATTTTTTTTATAGACTCCCCTAGATTTTTTTATTATTCTATTTTATATTACTAGAATAGGGAAATTAAATACTTATAGGAAACTACTGAAGGGTTTAATATGAAAAAAAATGTCTTATTATTTTTAACTAATAAATTGTTACAATCATAAATATTATGTGTTTTAGCCAGTTGCAAAGAGGCCAGAGACCGTGGAAGTTGTACCGAGTTCACTGTCAAATGGTTCTTTGATAGTGAATATGGAGGTTGTTCTAGATTTTGGTACGGTGGTTGTGGTGGAAATAATAATCGTTTTAAAACTCAAGAAGACTGTAAATCTGTTTGTGTTGAACCTTCTGGAAGAGGTAAACATGAATTAAATCTATTTATATATAATCTGTATATATAATTATAATTGGACCTTTTTTATGACTTCATAGATGTTTGTTATTTGCCAAAAAGTACAGGACCTTGCGAAGAATATCACCCTACATGGTATTATGATAATGATCGAAAACAGTGCGCTCAATTCATCTATAGTGGATGTTTAGGAAATAATAATAAATTCCAAACACGTGAAGAATGTGAACATGTTTGTGTTGTTCCTGACACTTTAGGTAATTCAAAGTACAAAATAATATTAAAATTCTATTTATAACTTTCTAGAATATTTAAGAAACTATTTGACATTTTAGATCAACTTTTTAACAATTATTAAATTCATAGACTACATTAAAAAATATATGTATTTTTTTTTGTCCCACTCGCTTTAATAAGAAATATAATTTGTATTCAAAATTCTAACATAAACATATTTTGGCGTCTGTCTTACCAACATTTTATGGTAGCCAATTTCGAATCAGATCTTTATGAGTTATAGGTGTTGTAATACTTAGAGTCAATAGTACAAGAAAAATGTACAAGCCGCTATTTATCTCGAATGAATACAAACTCCGAAAGCTAATGACTCATCCATACCATAACTATAAAGTTTGAAATTTGTCGAGTATACAATGTCCCATCATCAATCTATCGTAAACCGATTGATCGTGATATAATTTATCCAAATAAGTAGTTTTTGCAAAATTTTTTGATCGAAAAATATAAAATATTGCTACTTTAAAATTATATTATAAAAAAATGACTAAAGTAAATTGAGTTTTTAAAAGTTATTTTTGCAATTGACAATTAAAGTTATCCCGCGAAGATATAAGATATATATTCAATATAAATAACCATAATAAACTTTTGATGAACTGCTTGTGTTATTATATTTCCTACAACTGCATGTGTGGTTAAATTTATTTTAGACGCATTTTCTTTAATTTATATATTGTTTTTTAGCAGAATTAGCAACATGATTATTTTGTTTAATGAATTTTCCAATTTTTTATAACATGTAAGCTTTAAAATTTAAAATTTTTATACTCTATACATTTGCAATAATTATTATTTTTATACAAACTTTCTACGGTATACATGTAATCCTGATGTATAAGAATTTTTTTCGCTAAAAACGTAATTTAATGCCATAATAGATTTTATTTTTACTAAGTAAAATTGTACACTAATCCGTAAATTTTTCATACCTAATGCATTGTTAATAACAAAACTATTGGAACACCTCATTATTTTATGATTTTACGAGTAATAATTTTTCGTTAAACTGCATTTGCGATAAACTGTTATACGATCAATTGCTTGCTGTCAATTGACTTGTGATTAACTATTTATGATAAATTGCAGTGTATTCCTAATATACATATATATATATAAACCAAAAACACTTAAAAAATTTTTTAGACTTCGAATATCATAGTACAAGTTTATACTCTGCCTAAACTTGAAATAAAATTTTTTTTTTTAAATCTTTAAATAATCATATTTTTTACAATTTCAAAGGCATTGCTCTGAAACATAACTTATTTCCTTCTTATGTCTATATAAATGAAAAATATTTTTCAAAATTTTTAGTTATAGCAGATTTTTATTTATAAATATTCAAAGTTCAGAAAACTTCAGCTCAAAAAAACATTTTTCGCTTGATTTATAATTTTAAACTTAAAAATACATAATAAGAAAAATTAAGAATAAAATTCAAACTTTTCTAAGTTTATTTTATAAAAAGTTATAATTTTTTGATTACCTTAGAACCGGTTGGGTATAAAATTTTTTTTTTAGTACATAACATAAATGAGTCTACAGAAAAGATAAAAATATTGAACGAAATTATAAGACTTGTAGTCAATCACCTTGTTTATTATATATAGAATGCTCTTATGAAATATTAATTAAATAAAATTATTGAACAAAAATCGTATGCTTATTTTATTGCATAACTATTTTTTTAGATGCTTGCGAACAACCACTAGTAACAGGTCCGTGTCAAGGCAATTTCAAACGTTGGTATTATGATAAAACATCTCGAACTTGTTCAGAGTTTAATTATGGTGGATGCAAAGGAAATAAAAATAACTTTTTGACAAAAGAATCATGTAGTTATAAGTGTTTGAATCCATCAAAAACACAAGGTAAAATATCTACTTTGAACGTTTATCTATGCATTCATTTTTAATAATGCTAATTTTATTTTCTTATATAGTAGAATTGATTATTAGTTACATTGAGTTTTTAAATAATTCTTTTATTGCATGAGTATATTCTTTAGTTATTAGTCGATTTTTATAAAAACACAGTCAATCATTTGGATCCAATGTGTACATTCAAATCAATAAATATTCTAAAGCATCACTTTCAATACGTTTGATAACAATACTTCTATGAAACTGTCCGATAATTTTATGTCATACTCAATTTTTGTTTAGAAGAAGATATTTGCACACTACCCAATGACTATGGGTTGTGCGAAAGGTCCGAAGAATATTGGTATTATAATAACAAGAGTGCATCTTGTAGAAAATTTTTGTATGGAGGTTGTGGTGGAAATAAAAATAGGTTTCAATCATTTCGACATTGTGCATTAAATTGCTATTCTCCAAAATTACTGAAAGGTATTAAATTAAAAAGGTAGTAAATTTCTACGAATTTGCACCCTGCATAACTATTGGAATTGGGACCGGTACAGGTTCATCTAATCTGGATGAAGAATTTAATGAATGTTATTGCTGGAATTGTATTTACTGATATAAGTGCTATAATATCGATGAAAATACTATTGAATCGCGTTAAAAAGACATTTTTCATTAGTTACCAAACACGGTATTTTCTTTTTAACACTTTGTACTAATAATTTTTTGTTAATATTTACACTAACAAATTTTCTGCAGTTAACTATTATGCTTGTTTTGGTTTTGGTGCATGTTTAGAGCAATGTTTAATGGTAGTAGCAAAGGGTAGTTGCGATAAGAAGATTTCGCGGTGGTACTTTGATAATAATGAAAATGCATGTAAACCTTTCTATTATTCTGGTTGTGATGGAAATATAAACAGTTATGAGACGCAAGAGTATTGTGAAAAAAAATGTCCACCTAGACGAAGTAAGGCAGTCCATCTAGATGCATGATGACTTAAACATTGTAAAATCTATATATTAATTTCACTATTATTACAGAATTAGATACTTGCAAGTTACCGGCTCTTGTTGGAGAATGTCATAATTACACTAGTCGTTGGTATTACGATTCATTAGAAGAACGATGTAGACAATTTTACTACGGAGGCTGTGGTGGCAATGAAAACAATTTTGCTTCAGAATACGATTGCGATAGACATTGTGCAGGAGGAAATCGTTTTACGACATTAGCTCCAGCTCGGTTTTCAAAAGGTTTGATTTTATAATTTCATATTTTTTAATAATACATAACTGTATACAGTTATTTAAAAATAGGATCCTACTGACTCCTGCCAGTATTTATTTTTAAGTTTCTAAAAAGCATTTAGACGATTTTAATTTAATGTTATAGTATGAGAATCATTGTAATGTAAATTTAAGCTGATTTTAGTAAACATCAAAAGTTTGCCAAAAATCACACAATATTGATGTAACAGGTATTATTTTTATAATTAAAGGCTCCTATAATTTTATATAAGAGATCATGAGAATACAATTATATAATGTACCCAACCAATTTATTACATAGGTAATAGGACGCACCGGAAAACTTTCTAGTATCCTGGTACCACCAGTATGGATCTGTGTAAAAGACTTATAAATATATATGATTTATTTTTAAAAATAATAAGATTAAATGAATAATTATTAATTTATTTTACTATTAAGTGCACAAATGAGCCTGTTTTATTGAACTATTTACAAATGTAGACTAAATATATACTTATATTACTTAATATTTTTCAGAAAAATGCTTCTTGTACCAAGATCGAGGAAGTTGTTCTGATATGACACCAAAGTATTTCTATGATCGACAAGATGGCGTCTGTAAGCAGTTTATGTACGGTGGATGCGGGGGCAATGAAAACCGTTTCGATAACAAACAAGAGTGCGAACGACAGTGTTTTGATGCTCAAGGTATAAAAAATTAACATCTAAATAACTAACTTAATTCAATATTTTATTTTGTAATTTAGATGTTTGTCAGTTACCAAAAGTTGAAGGGCCTTGTAGAGGAGATTTCAGGCAGTGGTATTATGATCGAAATAGTGATAGATGCTATTTATTTAGATATGGTGGATGTCAAGGTAACACTAACCGATTCAATGACCAACAGTCCTGTGAAAATCGTTGTGTACGTAATCCAACTACAACGACCATCTCACAAGTAGCAATTCCAAATAGACCAAGCGACGCATGTTTATTCACATTAGATCCAGGACCTTGTTTACAAACGGCAAGGAAAAAACGCTTCGATTAAAGAGCACTTAACATTAATTTTCAATTGTTTTGCAGGTTCAAATGTGGTACTTTAAGTCATCGACAAGTCGTTGTGAACCTTTTGCTTATGGTGGTTGTGAAGGTAATGCTAACAGATTTGAATCTGTAGAAGATTGTGAAAAAATTTGTGAACCTTACATTGAAAGCGGTAATAAGAACTATTTCTGACATAAATAGTTTTTTTGCTAATCAACTTAAGTGATTTTATTTTAGCAAATCAAATTGATGTACGTTTCCCAAATGTCACCGAAGAACCAGCCATACCTAATATATGTGAAGCTGGACGATTACGTTGTAAGCTATTGACTGAAGAGTCGACTCGTTGTCCTTACGGACTTGAACATTGGATAAACCCAGCAAACTGTGAAGACTGCCGTTGTTATAACCCTTGTTTACCAGGTGTAGATCAAAAATCAATTTGCCCACCTGACTACCAATGTATTGTTGATGTAACTACCTCTGAAAATGGTGAATCCAAATATAAACCCACATGCAGATCTGGTAATAATTAATTATTTAAACAGTGCTTACTCATTTCAAATATTTAACAATTTATATTCAGTGTACAAACCCGGAGAGTGTCCTCAATTGTCAGCTTATCAGAGTAGTTGTGCCGAAGAATGTAAGACAGATGCCGATTGTGTTGGAGATGACAAATGTTGTTACAATGGTTGCGGTACATCCTGTCTTAGGCCTCAACCGGTCAGTCCACCAACTTCACCGGCTCCAATTACATCATCTTCTGAAAAAGGTTTCTATCTTCAAAAATGAGTTTTTACTGTGAATATGAATTTATTATTTTTCATAGAATCATCCCCACAAGTAATAGACGTAGCTGACACACAAGTAGAAGCTGAAGAAGGTAACTTTGCATCCCTTAAGTGTATTGTGGTGGGCAACCCTGCACCTACTATTGTGTGGCAGAAAAACTCTACATTAGTAAGCATAAAATTATTTGTAAAAAATTATCAATAATCAAATAATAATATTATTTAAACTCAGATTGATGGAACCACTGGACGGTATAAGCTATTAACCGACGGTACTTTGCAAATCATTGGATTATACAGATACGATTCTGGGTTGTACATTTGTATAGCTACAAACGGAATAGGAAATCCAATCAGAAAAGAAGTGTATTTAACAGTAAAAGGTACAAATTAAAATTTATTAATTCAATAATATTCCTTCTATTTCTAACTTTTAAATCTATGCAACTTATAGTGCATTTACCTTAAGACTTACAAATATTCTTTTATGAAAATAAATATTTGTTTAATAGTATTTGAAAAATATGAAAAACTGTGCTACTACGAATGATAAAATTTTATTAAGTACTCTCTATATTTATTTTAAATAAATTAAAAACTCTGTGAATTGTTTCAGAATGATTTCATCTCTAATAATTATTATTATTAGAAATTAAATCATTCTGAAAAAATAGGTAAAATAGGAATTAAATATTCAAGATATTTCTGCTTTCTAGTATCTTTTTATTTTTCAGTCAAAATTAACACATTTCTTCGGTTTTTTTGCTCTTAAATTTTACAACACAAGGTATTATAGCTTAACAATTAATTTCTTCTTGTTATAAATTAAATATTACGCATGAAGGAATTAGTTTAAAAATAACTTCTATTTTTTTATAAGCTTTCAATACATTTTTTGTTTCTTAATTAATTTTATTCTGGGTGATTGCATGTCTTGTTCTTTTGCGGTATGTTGATATTAACCAAAACAGATCCTGTACCACATTCTGCTAATGTGATTGGCGATGAAAATACTGCCATGGTAGTGGCTTTAGACGGGCCTGCTACACTACAGTGTTATGCGGTAGGTTGGCCCCGTCCTATTGTTACGTGGTGGCGGGCAGATAGAATGCTACCTATGAGTTCTGACCAATACGAACAAAGACGAGACCATTCACTCATTATCAAATTGGTCACTGTTAACGTATTGGGTCCATACACATGTCAAGCTTATAATGGTCAAGGAAGAGCTGCCTCATGGAGTATCATACTTCAAGGCTACGGTTTGTCCTCAACCGATCAATTGGGTAATCCATATATTGTGACACCGCCCAGAGATCCCACAACTGGTTACATTATCCGAAATAAACCAGTTATAATCAAGATTACTAAATCCCCACCTATTTATAGATCTGAAACAACTACTAGCATGTCTGAAGTTCTCGAAACTACTTCGCCAAAGGTGTTCACCAGTAAGTATTTGCAACACAATGACACTTAATAACTCACTAAAAATGAAAGGTCGTTTAATATAATATTATAAGAGAACAGTATATTTTTGGTACGTTAAAGTTAAATCGGTATAATTTATTTCAACATTAATACATTGGTGTTAGGTAGTTTTAATATTTCATTTGCCTCTTGCTATTTTCTTATGCTTCTTATTAGTAATTTATTTAATGTGTAGCTTGCTTTCTTTCTTATGCATTACTTTTGCTAGTAATAATAATTGATATTTTCATCATATTTTACAATTAAAATTTACTTAGTTTTATTCCAAAATTATTAAAGTTTTGTAATTGTCAAATTTTTGTTGGTATGCATTTGGATTTAGAAAAATGATAGACGTTTTAAAAATTATAGATAATTAATTTTTTTAATACCAGTTATTTTATGTTTGAATGATCAGCCACATAAAGTATTGGAACGATTATTGATATATTCTTATAGTTTTCAATTAAGAATTTATTTATTAATAATATAACATGATAATTCGTGACAAAAACAAAGTATCAAAATATGTTTTTGTACATATTCTACCAAATGTAGACACTAATTTCAAAAGGATTTGTATTTTATCATAATTTTATAATCTTATCTTTTTATTATTTAGACTCTTTTTATCTTACTTAATTTATTATGTGATATATTATAGTACCAGTTCAAGTTAATATATCAATGCCTGTAACTAAATTTGGAGTTGGTGGAGATCTTATTATACCTTGTGCTGTGGACGGATACCCTATACCTACAGTGGTGTGGTATAAAGATGGACAATTGGTTCACAATAGCGAAAGAACACAAACTAATGGCAAGTTTAAAAAATTTAACATATATAATATAAATTCATATAAATATTTTCACAAAAATATGTGATGTATTTTGTTAAGAAATATTTTTTATGACATTTTATTTAAAAAAATTTGTTACTTTATGACTGTAGAGAACCATGAATTGGTAGTAATTCGAACAAGTGCTTCGGATTCAGGAGAGTACAAATGCGTCGCATACAATGCCTATAACACTGCTGAGAAATCTGTTTTTGTAACGATTGAAGGTATTTCATTATTATTATTAGTGCTAGTCAGTGCTCGAATTGGGGGTTGCGCAGGGGGACGTAGCTCCTCTACTTTTTTTAAAATTTTTTTGCGCACCCCAACTACTTTTTTTTATTGGGACGGGAGGACGGTGGAAAATACCACCTCTTTTTTTTTTTTTAAATATTAGTATGATAATGAAATATGATTTATTAATAAATACTAAATAAAGTAATGAGTAAAAAAAGAAAAAAAGGTCTTCAAAATACTAGGGACGCAGTTTTCAAATTGTTAAGTTGAGCTCCCCTACTTATTTTTGGCCAATTCGAGCACTGGTGCTAGTATAATATTATGGTTTATTATTTATTTTAAGTTATTAGCAGTAATAAAAATAGTTAAAATTTTAGAAATATATAATATCAAATATAGGGGGTACGAATTTAATTTTTCTCAAAATCAAATCATACATCAGCTCATGCTAATTTGTATTACAGCATTTTACAGTATATTTTATTAACCATTAGTACTATAACACTCGTACGCACGTTAATTTTATTTGTGATTAAAAATTCATATTTAGTGGGTTTTTATGTAATTTTTGAACATCAAAAACTTTAAGTATTAGTATTATAAAGAAAATTTTTCAAATTTCTTACTTTAATATCCTAAAAGAATTAATTGATACCTATTCATTTATAAGGGCCCATTTCTTTTATAATAGTTTTGGTTACAAAGTTTCATAGTCATTTTTGTCATCTATCCCATTGTAAGATGGTGAAAATGACATCTTTTAGAAAAACATATCATGCTCCTTAGAGTAAAAAAGAGACGATTGAAAAAAATTGCAGTATTAGGCTAGATATTGGGTAATTTTCATGCAAATTAAAAATTCTACGTCCATTCACAGAAGTCAGAAAAAATTGTAGAATCTTAACCTTATTATCTTACTCCGCCTTACCCTATATCAGTTGGACAGATTTAAAAACATAAGTAACATTTTAGAAAGATTTTTTGCAATATCACTATTATTTTTACGTGGAGGGGTCAATTTGATTAAAAAGAAATATATAACTGCAAATATAATCTAATTCTTCTTCATCTTTCTCGCCTTAATCCCACCTACTTGAGGTCGGCCACCATTATCCTAAACTTCCACTTGACACGATCTCCCACAACATCTGCGCTCACGCGTTCTTCATATCGCATTCAGTCGGATTCCTCCATCTCTTTTTTGGTCTTCCTCTAACTCTTCTTCCTTCAACATTCATTTCTATAACTGTTCTTACAGCTTCCGATTCTTCTCTCCTCATAACATGACCAAACCATCCAAGTCTATTTTCTCACATCTTATCCACGATTGACGCTACACCTTTACTCCCTTTTATATGCTCGTTCCTTATCCTATCTTCTCTAGTCACTCCACTCATTCATCTAAGCATCTCTGCTACACTCATTCTCTGCTCTACTTTCTTATCAACCGCCCAACACTCTGAACCATACATCATAGCTGGCCTTGCTACAGTCTTGTAGAATTTACCTTTCAGCCTCATTGGAATTCTTTTATCATATAAGACGCCAGACGCTTCTCTCCACTTCAACTAACCGCGCTTAATCCTGTGTCTTACATCCTCGTCAATACCACAGCTCTTTTGCACAACTGAACCTAAATACTTAAAACTTCCCACTTCTCCAATCACGTCCTTGCCTATTGTCACTGATATCCTCATTTCACCTAACTCGTGTTCTCCTTTATCAAATTCGTACTCTATATACTCTGTCCTACTTCTACTTATTCTTAAACCCATGCAAATATAATCTAATTATTTAGCTAATTAATTGTACGAAATTGAAATTTTTTTATTTTAACTAGTTGACTGTGAAAACTCAGCAATTCAGATAATTTTCCATTATTTTTTAAATATTATTTCTAGATATATACGGTGTCATACTTAAGATTTTTACGTAAATTTTCTGGGTTACCCTTTAAATAATATTGTTGAACAAAAAAAATGATCTCTAAAATTTTTCCTAATCATAAGTTTTCAACATACTAACTAACAGTATAAAATATTCATACATTATATCATTGCTCGATCCATAAGAATACTATTATTAAATTGTATTCAAATCAATATTTGAAGGTTCACTACTTAAAATTGAGATTCAATCCTAAGAATTTTTGGAGGGTTATTCCCCACTAGAACCATTCTCTAAATACGGCATTAGGTATATAAAAACATGATTACAGTATTTATTAACTGAATATATATTTTTTAATTATAGGTCTATATATTTCACCTAACTGCACAGATAACCGATATTTTGCTAACTGTTCTTTGATCGTAAAAGGATTTTACTGTAACCATCCTTACTACAAAAAGTTCTGCTGTGAATCATGTACTCGAGCTGGTTTACTACCATCTGTGAGTGGTTCCAATATAGGGTTCCAAGAACTCGGCTCCTCTATAAGACGATTTAGAAGAGATCTAGTCAATAAATTATATAGTTTTAATTTTTTCTAATTGAAAAATAAAGTGACCACTAATTTTTTTTGTCAAAACTATTTTAACTTGGTTATTTTCAATAGAAATTAATTTTGTTTAGTTTTTTTATTTTATAGTAATAGTAGGTTATAAAATTTAAAAAACTCGCTGATATAAACTTAGCAAGTAATTTAATAATTGAGTATTGAACATTTGTCAAATATTACTTAAGAAATAAAATGAATATAGTTATAATATAACTTAAATATATAATGTGAATATGTTTTAAATGTTTAACTTAAATATGTATTTATAAATATAAATCACTCTTTTATGTGTATATTTAAACTTACAATATGTAGGAGATTTGTTCAATTAATAAACGAACATGTATCTTTTTTTGTTGAAGTATTTAAACTAAAGTATATTTAATTTTTTACTTGTCAGTTCCTAATTTTAAATAAAACTATCACCAATGTCAATTTTTAACAAGCTACAGGGTACCTACAAGATTAATAGTAAGTAGTGTTATTGAAATAATTATGTATGTAGTGTAATTTCAGCTAATTAAGTAGTTTCTAAACCACTTATAATTTATTGCTCATATCGAGCTACCTTAAATTGAAATTTGATTAAAAGAAACATCACTTACAGTTTTTTATGTTTATTATATAACCTTATAATATTTTGAATGATTATTATTATTATTATTATTATTAATGTATAAATTTAATTTGTAAGATAACAACTGTAGTTGCCAAAATATAACTGAAATATTTATTCTTATTGTGTTAGAAATTAGATATTTACCTCTGAAAAAATAAAAAATTGACAGAATAAAAACAAAATTACTTGTACCACCAATGCAAGCTAAATTAAAAATAGATAAATAAAATAACTTTTTAGTTGTATATTAAAATATATAAATATCGTATTAATGTTCAGGTGTTTATAAGTTACCTCATTAAATTTTTATATATATATCATTTTTTAAATGTGACTTTATATATTATTTTATACTTATTCCTTTTGTACTTAACATAGATGTCTAAGTTTAGTGTGCACACATGCACCATAATGAAGGAACGTCGAGCAAAGGTTAAATTCATAAGTTTTTATGTAACTTTTTTAAAATAATAATTAAAAACTTATTATATAATATAGCTATAAAATATTTTTTTTTTTAGTTTACCAAATTTCACAATTGTTCTTTTTTTAAAAAAAGTTATTTTATTATGATTATATAAATTTTGTACTAACATTATGGAATAATTTTTAAGGAAAGTTTAAGAGGGTATTAAATTGTTAACAAATATAACCATTTAGTGCATATTATTAGTCTATATTATCGAATTTTTATTAACTTATTAACATTTAATTATGAATTTAAAATCCAGTTAAAGAATATATTACACAAATATTGAAATTTATATTAACTAATATTATAGATAAAACTTCTTTTAAATCACTTGAGGCCCATACCATAAATTATTGTCGTTACAAATTTCAAAAAATGATTTGAGTACCTAACATACCAAACCTTGAAGTTTTAAAATATCAGTGATTAAAATATGATGCATAGTTTTGACCATCATGATGCCTGTATGTATAGTCTTAACCTAATATGTTACATAATAAAGCTTGTGTGTTACATGTTAATGTAATTTATAAATTATTTATGTCACTCATAAATAACTTATGGGTTACCGAAGTTTTTACCTTGCATAGTCAAAATTTATGTGTCAAATAGTTATAGAAAGTTTTATAAAAGTAAAGTCGTTTTTAAAAAAAGGAGTAGTTAATTTTGCTTTTGGAATAATCCACCAATTTCTTAAAATTAAACACTATCTACAGATTTTCATCGAAGCGTTTCTCATGATAGTGATTTTAACCACTGTCAGGTATCATCTAAACTTGTCTCAACTATGCCACGTCCACTTTATGGTGCGACCTCACTGTGCTACAATTTTTTTTAACAATGTTTACAATATAGGACTATATTTAAAATATATTTTATGTAATTTTTCGCTATTATAAACAAATTTTAAAAATTAGTTATTTTATTAAATTATTTTTTAGATTTGAAGATAGTCATTTAATTAACAAGTGTTAAAGAAAAAATTGATATCAAAACTCTCAGTTTAATTCAGTAGTTACGTTTTGCATAATTTTTAAGTTTCTTAAATTTGGAATTTTTCTATAGTATCGTACGTTAGTCCAAACATGTATTTGAAATTGATTTGATTTTGTTTTTGTGTATAGTAGGACAGATTGGGGAAACTATGGCCAGTGGGTAATACCGGTCACCTCATTGTCTAATAAACCCATATATCTAAAATTATTTTGACCACATGTATAGATTAAGAATGATAGAAAAACCTTATTCTTATCAGAACGATATTATCATAAAACGTTTTGTAATAAACCAAAAATAAAAAGAAAGAAAAAGAAAAAAAAGCAAATAGAGTTAAATATAAAAAGTAATTGGTGGCTACTTAGTAAATTATTATAATTATTATTTATTATAAGTTTTTGTAAATTTAATGTCTTCAATTTTATTTAAATTAATTTTCTCATTAATTATTAAGGTTTATCACACAATAGATTGTTGGAAATTCGAAAGCATAGGTTAAATTGTGTACTTACCTTACGTCCTGTGTAATACAATAATATTTCAAGTAATCCAGTGTTGATTTCCGCATTAAACGCACTACGTATACGATTTACACTATATGTCATATAGTCTATATAATTACTTACAAAAAACGATTCAAGACTTTAAATAATATGATTTAATTACACAAAGTCTAAGACTGATCTTACTTGTAAAAGATTCTAAACACTCTGTATTTTATTATAAATACAATTTTGATTTTTTTTTACTTATTGATTTTTTTTACGTCTATTGAATAAGTATTTTTTTTTAGAGAGTATATTTTTTTATTGAGAGATCGATACCAATATTTCTTAAATTTTCCTCTGGCCTGGCCAAAACAAGATTCAGAAATATCTATATCTATGTAAAAAATTTATCAAGGCAGAATTGTCGTGGCCCAATGTGTCCTGGTGCTAAAATAAANGGTGGCCCAATGTGTCCCGGTGCTAAAATAAAGCACCTTGAAAGGATGCGGCACAATAATAACCAAGACAAAAATTAAACACTGCAAATATATTCGTAAGTTTCTCTGCGTTGTCTGCCGGCGCGATGTTTATTAAAACAAAGACATTAGCAACGAGACTAGCTACCCAATAAGAAAAGCTTACTATAAATTTTTGTCATTAAATAAAAATCTAAAGTTAGGTTGGGTTTATTATTAAAATAAAATAATTTTAAAAAGATGTAATGTTTAAAATATTATTTGATATTTATTTTCATAACAAAAAAAATAAAATATTATTAATGATTGAACAAATTAAATTAAATTAAAAGATTCACCAAAACAAAATTCACTTTAAAATTTCTAAGTGTCATTTAATTTTAAAGAAAAATATTCTAAGTCCAAATTAATTAAAAAATCGACTAAGTCCCGGAGAGTGAAATCTTGAGTAGAGTGTCGTAGATTTTGTTTATTTTAAAATCGTCAAAAGAACTGGTTTAGACGGGGAAAAATGACTTTTTATAGTCTGAAGGGGATAGCCCAGCGATCTCTACCGTGATCCTGGAAGCTGAGGCTTTGTATTTTAATTGGTTAATTAAAATGGGGCCCCTGCGTGTAGGCGTTACTTAATAATTTCTACAAGAGGGAGATTTTATCGTATAATTCAAGGGTTATTTTGTATCTTAAATAAAAGAACCCTGTTTTGGTAATCTTGTATAATCATGATATGTGACATACATGTACAAATGATAACATCATATTATATGTAATAATATAATATTACAAATGCACCCCTTTCTATTTTGTCATACGCCCTCGTATGACACATATAAAAAATAACAAAGGCATTTTGTTTAATTTAACTTAATTATAAAACTTAAATATAAGGTGCATAATTCAAATAGATTTGTGCTTAATATGATAATTATAATATAAATGCAATAATAAATTGTTAAAAATGAAAATACAAATGAATGTAAGGTACTTATAATGTAGTAAAAGTGCAATATAAAGTGATTATAAATTGAATTGTAATGTCAAAATTGATTTTTATAAATGAAAATTATGAATTAGATTAAAATAATTGTTAGTAAAAATTAAAAATTATTCTAAAGTTAGTATATTGAAAACAAATGTAATGATATATTAGTATTGATAAAATAGATAAATGAAATAAGTATATTTTAAATAAAAATAATAGTAATTAATGAGTCTTTTAAATAATACTTTTAAGATCGATTAAAATTACTTTTGCAATTATCCATGTTTCGCATCCTTATAACACGATGCTCCAGATTTAAGTTTTTAGTAGATTCTTTCTAATATTAAGGTCAATGTTTTTTGAAGTAAAAAGACTTCTTTTTTTATTGAATTCCACCTTAGCTTAGAATATTCTCTTTATAATTTCATTTTTGCAGCTCCCCATCTGAGTTTATAGTGCTACCCAAATATATGAAATCTTCTACTTGTAATACAGTTTCATTGTCCTTTAATTTATTCTTGTTCTTATGATATTGTCTCTACTATATCTAGGACTTTCGTCTTCTTTGCGTTTATTTTCATATGTAAAAATGTTTACTTTTCTAATAAATTTACTGTAAATAGTAATTATAAAATTTCCTGACTGCATATTAATCTTAACAATTTCATTTTTTCTCTTTAATAATGTCAAGTTGAGCTTAAGTCAAGTTAATGTCAACTTACAAGTTGAGCAAAAAGTTATGGTAATAAATTCATTTATTTTTTATTATAAACTTTCACTTAAAATGACGAAATAAAGTAGGTTAAAAATTATTACTTTTAACTGATTAAAAATCAAAATCAATAATAATTCGAAAATAATTCAATATAACAATTATATAATATGTATTTTTATATTATTTTTTTGAATCTATGAATTAGTAATCTGGATATAATTAAGGAAATATTTGATGTTGCTTTTGTAATTATCCATCAATTTCTTAGAATTAAACATTATCTACAGATTTGCATCGAAGCGTTTCATATGATAGTGATTTTAATCACTGTCACATTAAATCTTTACTGGACTCAACTATGCCACGTCCCCACTGTTCCACGATCCCACTGTGCTGGGTTCTTTTACTGTTTTATATACTTCTTCTTTCTGCTCATTCTCATCAAAATATCTATTTCCTCACATTTTTCTTCTAGTTATTTTAGCTTCGATGCGAAGCTGAGAAGGTATTGGTTTTACTAAGATGTGTTTTTTTTTTATTTTTTTATTTTTGTGACTGTTACCACTTTTTCTCAGCTCTCACCGAACCGATTTCTTTCAACGATACGTCAAAAGATCACAAATTGTATCTAGTTGAAGACATTACCCTTAAAATTGAAAAAAATTCCCTCGTTCCCCGAAAATGGAGGAAATATCTAAAAAAAATTACAAATTTAAAATTCACTAATTTTTTCAATTTTTTTTTACTAAAAACTGCCATAACTTATCAATATAATTCTTTTTTTTATGAATGCATGATGTCTTTACCTATCATTTGGTGTATTTTTTTCTAAATCTGACACTTAAACTGCCCACAGGGGGGGATTTAATATGACAACTTTTTCTTAAAAAATTAACTTTTTCAACTTAACTTTTGAAAATGTTCCGGAAGGTCTGATACTTTTATATATATCTTAAAATAAAGCTTATGTCATATACTTTAATTTGAAAATAGAAAATTTGACCTCTAGACTTGTCTTCACGGTGAAAATAGACATCAAAGTTAATAATAAATTACGATTTTTGTAAAATAATTTTTTTTTATATTTTTAACTTAATAATGCTATAACTTTTTGGAAAATGTATGGATAAGTAATTTTTTTTTTGTATAGATGCTTGATGTCTTTACTTATCATTTGGTATATTTTTTTTGTAAATTTGATCCTTTATCTGACCACAGGAGGGGATTTAAAATGACAACTTTTTCACAAAAAATTAACTTTTTCAACATAACTTTTGAAAATGTTCCGGAAGGTCTGACACTTTTATATATATCTTAAATTAAAGCTAATGTAATGTACTTTATTATGAAAAAAACAAATTTAACCTCTGGACTTGTCTTCGTGGTGAAAATGGCTACCGAGTGCTATTTTTGTGTCAAAATTCTCATCCAAAAATTATTTCGGACTTTATTTTATCTTCATGGTGAAAACAGACATCAAAGTTAATAAAAAAAAATACGATTTTTGTAAAAAAATCCTTTTTTATATTTTTAACTTTATAATGCTATAACTTTTTGAAACATGTATAGATCAATATAATTCTTTTTTTTATGGATGCATGATGTCTTTACCTATCATTTGGTATATTTTTTTTATAAATATGACTTTTTACCTGCCTACAGGGTGGGATTTAAAATGACAACTTTTTCAAAAAAAATTTACTTTTCCAACTGGACTTTTGAAAATGTTCTGGAAAGTCTGACACATTTATATATATATATTAAATTAAATCTAATGTAATGTACTTTATTATGGAAAAAAAAATTTCAGATTTTATTTTGTCTTCACTGTGAAAATAGCTACTGAATGCTATTATTGTGTGATAATTCTTGATTTTATTTTTTACATTTTTAACTTTATAATGATATAACTTATTGAAAAGTGTATGAATCAACATAATTTTTTTATGAGAAATAATATTTTTTAATAATCCCTTTTTCATTCGACATACTTCTGAATCATTATATTAATAACGAATTAGCAGATCAAGTTGCTTTTGGTATAATCCACCAATTTTTTAAAATTAAACACTATCTAAAGATTTGCATCGAAGCGTTTTTTTTTTATAGTGATTTTAATCACTATCAGATATCATAATATTTGATCTAACTATGCCACGTCACCACTGTGGCGCGATCCTCCTGTGCTGGGTTTTTATTTATTAAATTCATTCAAGATGTATTTTCACAAAACACTTAAGACTATTTTTTTATACTTTTTACATAGTTGTTTGTCATCTACGAATTCAATATACATAATAATAATTATTTATTTTATATAATAAAAATTGATCACTTTTTTTTAGTTTAATTAAAACATTATTTTTTTAATGAATACAATTACAATAAATGAACTGATTTTTCTTGTGATTCGTAAAACAATATAAAAATACAAAAATAGTCTTTGCATGCTTAAAATAATAATTTTTCATAGAGGTTTTTTTAATAAAAATAAAATATATTTGTAGGTCTTTTTTGAAATAATAGTGATAATAAATATCACTATTTTTTTATTTATTAAAATAATTTAAATTAGAAAGATCAATTAAATTTAGAAACTTTGAACATTTTTAAAAAAGAAATTGTTTAAAATAAGAAACTATTTAATAAAAAAATATAATCTATGTAACTGTTGTTACATAATATATTTTTTAATAATAACAGATTTCAAATCAACAAACATTTAAAGGAACATATAACTTCAATTATTGGATAGCAGATGTTCTAAAATGTCTGTGCATTCAGATACGTCTGGTGAAAATAATAATGTTTATTCTAATGAATCTATTCCTCCAAGTTTTTCACAATTTTCTGTATTTGCTCAAACAAAGAAGGAAGTAATTCGTAATTATGTTTCATTGTTTTAAATTTCAATAAATAATAATAAATTATTTAAATTTAATCTAGTTAATCACTAATAAATGTATGAAATTCAAATTGAAATTTAGTTTAGACATTTGTGTACACAATTAAATATGTCCTTTCTTTTAAATTAAAAAAATATTACAATATTATGTAAAAACGTGAATACTGCATTTTAGGACTCACTTACTTAGATAACCCTTCATTGGTTTGTGATAATGGTACTCATTCGTTAAAAGTTGGCTTTGGTGGTGATGATTCCCCTCGTTCATTAATTCCTACTTTTGTCGGATCGCCTCGTAAAGAAGTAAGAAATATTAAAGTAGAATACATTTATAGTCCATGAAAGCTACATAAAATATTTGAATCAAAAATTGTAATAATAATATTTATCGTCCAAAATTATATGTTATTTCTCCTTTCTTTTTGGTATTTAAAAATTATATTTGTTAATATTATGTTAAATTATATTATATTTTTTCAAATGGCTACATATATAATTTACTAGTTTATTATTTGATAATGAAATAATTAAGAAAATAACGGGTCGATTACAAATTTTGGACCAGTACTTCGAAAAATATTCTAATTTTTGTACCTAGACAGAAGAAAGAGTACGGGCGGGAAATGACTAGTAATAAAAATAGCTGCATCCTCTCTCCATTCCCCAATTTATTCTAGTACATCTAAAACCAAGATATAAAAAATTTGGTCGCGAATGATTAATCCTAACATGTGTTACAAAAGTGCTAAATACTTGATGTATGAGATAGTTTTTCAGATTTTATGAATTATCTCGAAAACTTTTATACTTATAATAAAAAAAAAACGGTAGCACAGTGGGGTCGCGGCATAGTGGAGACATTGCATAGTAGGGTCCAGTATAGATTTAATCTGACAGTGATTAAAATCACTATCATAAGAAACGCTTCGATGCAAATCTGTAGATAGTGTTTAATTTTAAAAAATTGATGGATAATTGCAAAAGCAACATCAACTTCTATTAAAATAAAATACAAAACCCATAATTATCATACAAAAATAGTATATTTTTCAATATGGTA